GGGGTTGCTCAGGTTCCCGGTGTGTACCAACTTGGAGGTGAAGATAGGAATTGAGTAGAAGAGTCTGAGTGATGCTAACAGAATACGGCATCATGTATTGCGCTTCACTACCCCTTTATACACCAATTTATATAAATTGTGCTGATCGAATATTAATTTGCTAAAACTTATCATGAATTCGTCTGTTGTTACAGCTGAGTCACTGAAAAAGAGCGCATATTACCCATTAAAACGTACGGAGAGCTATCAAAATGTTGTAAACCAATATTATTTTGATTTTCTTATTATACTACGTTCCACGTTTAGAAAATAACATTGCGGAGATAGGGCCATGTGTTTCTTATGGACGATAGCAACGCGGCGTTGCCACGACACACACAAGCACAATTTAGGGTTGTATAATTTGTATTTTTGTTTCCACAAACATGAATTAAATTAATGTTTTTTAACGTAATTGACCAAAAGTGCCCATTCGAAACAAGAGATGAAAAGTAGGGAAAATGATTTTAATTAAATAAATAGTATTTACAAAAGATAATTTTATTTTATCTTATTTTAATTATAGTAACGACAGTTTATTTGTTTTTCGGTGAGAATACGATATGCAATAAATCATAGAAATCAGTAGAAAATATTGACCGCTTGGAATGCGTATATCTAATTACTAATTGCAACTTAAAATAATACGATGTGCGTATGTCAGCTATTTTATGTCGTTCTCTGACTACATAATGATAATAAGGCTTTTATTTAGTAGTTATTCTGACTTTACAGTTAAGTGTTAATTGAAAATGAAAATTCAAAAATTAAGCAAAGGGAATATCTTGGACATCCGTGCAAAAGAGAGTGTCTGAGAGTTTTGGCAACACTGATCTCCATAAGCGTAATGTTATTTTCTTAACTTAAAACAAAGAATAGTAAACAGTATATTTGATTTACACTCGTACAATTCGAATATCGTATTACATTTATTAGTCACATGTTTTAATTTCGTGTCAGAGTAATTGTAGGCTATCACTTAGTGTCGTGGGATATTGGCATAGACTCGAGAAAGCGCAGTTGTCATATTTACCTCAATGTATAATACCTATGTCCAGTAAAAGATAAACGTACTGTATATAATTTTTTATAATATATCGGTACTCTTTTATAGTAATTTTTGTGCGTTTTTAACCTTATTCAAATAAGTAGATTCTTTATTCGTTTTTAAATCTCATCCTTGTATATTCTAAGCCTATTTAAGATTTATGAATACGATATGTGCTCATAACTGCTACTCAATATTTGTTTATTGTAAAAAATTTGACTGTGATGTATCTTTGTCTTAGAAAACCTGGCTGAATTTAATTTTACTTTTATTTGCCTAACTTTTTCTTTGTATATTTGCTATAATATTGTAAACAACATAAGGTGAGGCAATGTATTTTCTTCCCAGATTTTTATAACAGTTGTTTCAGTTTTAAATCGCCTGCTTTATTAAAATTCAGAATAACTCAAAAAATCATTTTTAAGTTAAATAAAGTCGTCAAGACGTGACATTAAATATAAGTTATTAGAAAAACAGTTTTCTTTATTTTTAAATTATAAAAAACTACCAGAGAATTTTATTGTGAAAATTATACAAAAAACATGACTTCCAGTTTAAATACAGAAATAAATGCGATTTAAAATATATTACTCTTATAAAAGAGTGACATTCGGCGACAAATTTCCTAGGAATTTCAGTTTCACTTTCAACACTTGATTGATATCCACTGGGCAAAAAACAAGGATTTCCTTATTCGAAAATGAATAAACATAAAAAAATCTTAGTTTGTATTGTTCTTAAGCTCTTTTCTTGTAGAATTTTATAATTATTTACAATTTTTATTTGGATTTTTTTATTTAGTTTGTGTCTCAACTACAAAGTCATTGACATTGGCCAATTTTGTTACTATAAATTTTACATTATACTATAACTTACAATAAGAGAAATAGATTACTATTTAACTGGAAATAGCCCACAATTAAAGATAAAAATACGTTTATTGACGTTTCAATTTCCACTTCGGAAATCGTTCTCAAAATACAAACAGTAAATTAAACAAATTTTGTTTTTTGTTACATAGTGAAAAATTCTTCTAATAATTTAATTTTATCTGACTCATTTATATTGACAATTCAGACATACATTATGCATTTTAAAGTAGACGACTTTAAAATGATATTGCCAATATTGTTGAGTTGCGCTCCTGGGACGACTTTACTTATAAGATAGTTCATTCGATTACATGAAATCAACTTTAACTTGAGAATATCCGTCAGAAAAAAATCAAACATATGACATGAAGACAAACACATGACATGATGACAGTAAAATTCTCCTGTTAGTGATTCCATAGTAAATTATGAGGGCAAAACCAGGAAAAAAACCTCATAATACTATCCCGACATGGTAAGTATTTGTTCGTGCATTTAGTTTACCTTCAATAAACACCAAAATTCTGATTTTATATGTTTCGTTATTTTTAAAAAACATAAATGATGTATCCTCTATATGTTACTGACTTACTAATACTGTATTTTCTTATTAAGAACTTCCTCTTTCAATATTGGCAACCAGATCCTACTACATTCTGCCGAGGAATTTGCGACACAATTGGCCTCATTTAGCATAATTAGAGCCGCTTCTTTGATTTTTCTTTTTTACCATCCGTTTCTTTTAGGACTACATTTGAATTATTCCATTGAACCCTATGTTCATTATCCCATGCGTGTTTACATATTTGAGATCTATCAAATTCTCTATTTTTAATATAAGATTGATGTTCACTTATTCTAACATTTAATGGCCTTGATGTTTCACCTAAATAAAACTGATCGCATTCACAAGGTATTTTATAAATGCAATTCTTTGTCCTTTCTTGTTCATTGTTAAGTTTGGTTTATAATTTATAAATAATTCCTTGTCCTTCTTGTTCATTGTTAGGTTTGGTTTATAATTTATAAAGAATTGCATTTATAAAATACCTTGCGAATGCGATCAGTTTTATTTAGGTGAAACATCAAGTCCATTAAATGTTAGAGTAAGTGAACATCAATATTATATAAAAATAGAGAATTTGATAGATCTCAAATATGTAAACACGCATGGGATAATGAACATAGGGTTCAATGGAATAATTCAAATGTAGTTCCTAACAGAAACGGATGGTAAAAAAAGAAAAATCAAAGAAGCGGCTCTAATTATGCTAAATGAGGCCAATTGTGTCGCAAATTCCTCGGCAGAATGTAGTAGATCTGGTTACCAATATTGAAAGAGGAAGTTATTAATAACAAAATACCAGTATTAGTAAGTCAGTAACATATAGAGGATACATCATTTATGTTTTTTAAATAACGAAACATATAAAATCAGAATTTTGGTGTTTATTGAAGGTAAACTAAATGCACGAACAAATACTTACCATGTCGGGATAGTATTATGAGGTTTTTTTTCCTGGTTTTTCCCTCATAATTTACTATGGAATCACTAACAAGAGAATTTTACTGTCATCATGTCATGTGTTTGTCTTTTTAAAGACGAATTACATCTATGATTTTTTTCTGACGGATATTCTCAAGTTAAAGTTGATTTCATATAATCGAATGAACTATCTTATAAGTAAAGTGGTCCCAGGAGCGCAACTCAACAATATTGGCAATATCATTTTAAAGTCGTCTACTTTAAAATGCATAATGTATGTCTGAATTGTCAATATAAATGAGTCAGATAAAATTAAATTATTAGAAGAATTTTTCACTATGTAACAAAAAACAAAATTTGTTTAATTTACTGTTTGTATTTTGAGAACGATTTCCGAAGTGGAAATTGAAACGTCAATAAACGTATTTTTATCTTTAATTGTGGCTTATTCCCAGTTAAATAGTAATTAATTTAAAATGCCACAAGAAAATAGCTTCAGAACAATAAGAAAAATAGAATAAAAGAAATATTAAAAAATCGTACATTCTGAAGAAGTTTTAATTGGCTGAGAATCATATTCGTAAGACCTTGTATAGAGTATTTTTTTGTTATTGTTCTACTCAATACACTGCGTAAGAATATGTTCAATGCTTAATGATCCATTACACTTTTCACAGACAAGCGATTTCTCTGAAGCCATGAAGTGTCCATGTGTCAACCTAACACCAATTCTTAGCCTAAAAATGATTAATTTATATCTTCTACTTAAGTTGGATAGCAAAACGTTCCGATGGTAGGTTGTATTTTGTATAGTTTGGAGGTTAATATCTTCCATTGGTTTTGCCCACACTTTTGATTTGGAATTTGTAAAGTGGTTTTAGGTCTGATGCTAGTTGAACGATTCGATTTGGATCTCTTTTGCAGCAGTATCAGCAGTCTCATTACCTAAAACGCCAACGTGTGAAGGAATTCAGACTAATGCTATGTTTGTTCAGAAGAAGTGGAATGGTTTGTTGCTTAATGTATCGTATGAACTAATGGATGTTCCAAATATATATTTTTAAAAAAGTCGATGGAACACATGAAATCTGTACATATTACAGTGTCCTTGGCTTTAGTTTGGTTAGATAAACATTGTTTAATGCTTGTAGGATTCATCTATATAAATAATCTCGTTATATGAGTTTGTCTTGACCAGCTTTAGGAAAGATTGTCTTAGAATTTGGCTGACAGTATAGTCAAATTTGAGGATTGGGAAGAATATTGTACAGAAGGGTTTGTTTGTTTGAAGACATTCTTCTTTTTAAACCGTTGATAGAAATTATCGGCAATTACATTAACGATTTCTTCATCATTGAGTACTAAACTACTTTTATGTAAAATAGCTGAAATTATTGTATATATTTTATTGGAAATTAACACTTTTATTTGAAATTTCGATTTCCATTTCGGATTTTCGAACATTTTGACATTTTTATCTTACTTCGTTGGTTTTCAATATCAAATCGGTCAAAAATGGTGAAACAGACTATATTATTATTACTTATTGTTTCAGATTAAAACATAGCCGAACCCGAGGCACGTCAATCTGCGTAAATAACGACGAAGACGCAGACATGGGCCCTTTAGTCAGCAGATCCGACGCTACCACATCTGGAGTTACTACAACCACCAGAAACTCCAATATTACCGACAGCAGTGAAAGTGTCTTAAAGCACACGGTTAGGAATGGTGGATCTAGTGGAAGTCAACCTACTAGATTATAAAAGAATTTAAAACTAGATTAATAGATACTTTAAAATGCCAAATAAAAGTTATATATCAGACCAAAAACTTAAGTAATGGGTGTGTTTTGTTTGCAAATTGCTGTTTTTAAAAAGTAAGTACAATATTTAAAATATTTATGACAAGGAAAAAAAATTTAACAGTTCCAAGTAACAACAAAAACCAAATCAGTAGAGTTGACATAAATTAATTAATAATTAAAGTTTTAATTATATATACAAACACTTATTTTTTTAAACATTTTTTTTTACTTAAGAAGTTTCTATCACGTATCGTGAAGAAACATTTTTTATTTTATCTCTTAGTTCCTTCTTTAACAAGTGTGTGTGAAAAACAATTTAGAAATGGAAATACATGCTATAAACGCTAAGATCGACGTACACACGACCAAGTCATACAAAAAAACTTATTAATATGCAGAAATAGGCACATAGGATAGTCTTTTAATAGCGCTAATAAAAACATCTTCTTTAAGAACCATCTCTAATGGAAGTTGGCACAACTTCTGTAAATTCATCTCTATCCTTTGTTTTTCTTATTCAGATTTAGAGGTCTTATTCTGTTCAATGCAGCAAAGATATTTGTCCTCCTTTTTTGAAGTAACTTAAAAAGGGGGTTATGTACAAACCATTTCTTGTTTTTTAACAGCAACCATGGCAATACTGTCCTAACAGCCTTTGCTTGTCGAGGTTTGCGCATTGAAAGATAGATAGTAGACGAAAGATGCATCTTTGCATGGATGCATCCTTCTTTAACTGCAGATAAGTAATCAATATTAAATGAAATAGTCATTTTGGGGAGGAGCTCTGAAACATATCTATGTGGAGCCTCCTTTCGTATCCTCCAATGGTTAGTTTATTATACTTTATAAAAGCTTCATATCCTTCTTATTTCTTTCAGCTTCGGTATTAGTATTCTTCTGTTTATTTATATCTCTCTTCCCCTCAATGGTTTCTTATAATTTTCCTCTTAAATTTGTTCTTGAATTTGTTAAATTTTTTCCTAAAGAAATGATAATGCCTATAGAGCAGGAATTTCAACCGAGATACTAAGTTTTCCACAGATTTGTAGATAAAGTGGAAAACAAAATTTAAAAAATAGTTTTTATATCGTAATAGTTTCTTATATCATAAGTAGAAGATACACCAAAGCGTTATAACTCCCATATATAAGAAATGTAACAAAGAACAATTCCGAAACTATAGAGGGATATCGCTTATTAGCATACATAAAGTGCTATAATTATCTCGCTAAAGAGACTCACACCATATTCGGAAGATATTCTAGGCGACTACCAATGCGGCTTTCATGTTGGAAGGTTAACTACAGATCAGATATTTACCATCCGACATATATTACGAGACAAACTGGGAATTTAACCGCGATGTGCACCAAATTTTCATAGATTTCCAGCAAGCATATGATTTTATAAAAAGAAGCAAATTGTGGATAACAATGTTAGAAATGGGAATACAAAGAAAATAAGTTGAATTAACGCAAATGTGCGTGACAGACTCATATGCGCAAATAAAGATAGGAAGCAGAACATCGATGCCATTTGGTACAAATTCAGGACTTAGGCAGGGGAGCCCTTGTCACCGTTGCTGTTCAATTTTGCTTTAAAATATACAATAAGTAAAATATTGTCTGAGCTGACAGAAGGATTTGCTGATCAAGGATCAAAATTGTTGCTGACCTTTGCTGATGATATAGATGCAGTTACGTATTCTACAAGAGACGTGAGAGAGATGTTTTTACAGCTCGAGGAGGAAACAGTCTGGGTCTCCGAATAAATGAAGAAAAGACGAAATACATGGTAGTAACCAAAAATCCAAGACCAAGAGCTAGACAGAACATCAGTATTAATGATTACAACGTCGAAGTCGTCGGGCTAGTACTTATTTGTTCCATATGCCACTGGCTACATTTGGTACCTAGTAAATATAAATAAATTTTTTTTAAGTTATAAGTACATGAACATGAATTACTGGTTATGTGTTTAAAGTAAAGATGGTAGGTTGTTTATGTGTGTGGGCAAGTATGCCAGACTGAAAGAAAATTGATGGCTGAAAGATGGTTAGGTGTGATATTGTTCCTACATTGCTCAAGTTATAACTCAAGAAAACAAAAGGCCCTATATGTTAAAAGGAACATACAACTGATTTCTCAATCGCTTTCTTGTTTTTTTAGAAGTCTTCTTGCTGCTTGCTGGGACATCTTGATTTTCCATGTTATTTTCTGCTGAACTTTCTTCTGTACATTTTTCGGCACATTCTGAAACCATTTTTGTAGAACTCTCTGTATTTTGTCTGTTTCCATTAGAAGAAGTTGAACTTGAATCACTGGTATAGTCAAAATTTTGTCTGAGTGGTTCTGCATTATAATCAGCATCCCAGACTTAATCGTCACTATCAAACATATTCTCGACATCAGTAGGTAATGATGGCGCAGACGGCGAACATTCAGACATTGCAATATTGTTTCTTTTAGAAACATCGAGAATCGTCTCAAATAGATTTCTTTTTATAGCGGTAATTTGTTTGCGATCCATATCCACTCTGTAACAAAAAAATTACATGAGTTTTTACGCTCTCCGGGCAGAAATATCGTCAAATTAGTGCTAATTTGTTCCACATGCCAAATTCTTATTATGAGACATTGATATTATTAAATTTGGTAATATAGTGAAGAACACATCAATAAATAGGTAATACGTATACATTTTTACACACGTAAATAAATAATATATGCATTTACTTACCCGTTTTATACTTTTATTTATCACATCCAGTCGCCACCATACAAGAAGTAAGACACGTTAACCTCAACTCTTCCTTACCTTACCTAACACTACCTTATTACATTTGGCAGTGAAACATGGACTCTCAACCAGCGGGAAATCAATAAGCTTCTAGTATTTGAGAGAAAGATTCTCAGAATAATATTTGGCCCTCAAAGAGATAAATTCACAGGAAATTGGAGAAGACGCCGCAATATATCAATGCAAACCGAATAAGATGGGCAAGTCACGTGGTACTCGGTCATCAGAGGATGACAAAGTGTTAGACAGTGTTTTTTGAAAGACCAGATGGTAGAAGATCAGTAGGCCTACCGAGAAAAAGATGGAAGGATGATTTTGAAGCCGATTTATCTAGAATTGGGGTACAACAATGGGAAATAGAAGCGCAAGATAGTAGAGGATGGAGGGCGATAGTGGATGCGGCGAAGACTAACCCCGAGTTGTAAAGCTGGTGAAGAATAAATAGAAGATGCACCAAGTAATAAGAATAAAACAGAAAAATATAAACTAAAAATAGGCATAATCTAAAATTGTTAGGAAAGTAAGTACTATATCTAGATAAAAATTATAAAAATAATATGAAAATATAAACCAACTAGAAAGTGGTAATGCTGGAAGCCTTTGTAGATATAGAAAGTGATTTCGACAATACTTCGGTAATGTCTACATCCAATGCCCTGAGATATAAAGAAATCGAGGATATTTGTTTAAACTTGATAAAATGTATGGTCAGCAATAGAATTGTAAATACCACCATCCTTGGAGAGACCGTATTAGCCCGACGCGACAGAGGTTGTACACAGGAAAGAGTTCTGTCACCACTGTTGTGAAATCTGGTGACAGACTTAAAGGGACTTTAAAGTGAATTTAAAGGGATATGCGTATGATTTGGTAATTTTGCCAAAATCCAGTTTGCAAGGAATGTACAATACAGTAGTCACGAATATGAACGTGTTTCTAGAACTAATGAGGCAATAGACTTATAGGGAGAAGATAAATAAAAGTGTAACAATAAAACACTGAAAACTTTGTTTTCAAACTTCCACAAAATTTATTTGAAATATTATCACTACAGCTGTTTCGGCTGATTGCCTTTCTCAAGTGATCTATTTTGGCTTGGGTTTACAAATTTATAGTCTCTAATGAAATAGGTTGAGGAGGGGAGAACTGTTTGTCTCAAGTTGGTCATTCAGAATTATATCTGTGTTTTTTAATTTGTTGATTTCCATAGATTCTAACAAAGATAGCTTAAGGCCTTTATTTTGAATGTGAAGAATTTTAAATTTGTCATTAAAAGAATGATTATGATCTAGAAGGTGAAGTGCGTATGTCGAATCTGTTTTTTCTATTCTTGAAAGCCCTTTTATGTTCTGCTATTCGTTTATCAAAGTTTCTACCAGTTTGACCGATGTAAGTTTTTGGGCAGTTTTTGGACAAATAACAACCTAGGCAAATATATTAAAAATAACAAGAGCCAAAATAAAAAACACTTAAATAGTGGTGTGTACAACCTCTGTCGCGTCGGGCTAATACGGTATTTTCAAGGATGGTGGTATTAACAATTCTATTGCTGAGCATACATTTTATCAAGTTCAAACAAATATCCTCGATTTCTTTACATCTCAGGGCATTGGATGTAGATATTACCGAAGTATTGTCGAAAGCACTCTCTATATCTACAAAGGCTTCCAGCATTACCATTTTCTAGTTGGTTCATATTTTCATATTTTATGATTGTTCTAATTTTTGTATTTTTATCTAGATATAGTACTTACATTCCTAATAATTTTATATTGTGGCTATTTTTAGTTTATATTTTTCTGATTTATTCTTATTACTTGGTGCATCTTCTATTTCTTCACCAGCCTTACAACTCGGGGTTAGTCTTCGCCGCATCCACTATCGCCCTCAATCCTCTACTATCTTGGGCTTCTATTTCCCATTGTTGTACCCTAATTTTAGATAAATCGGCTTCAACATCATCCTTAAATCCTTTTCTCGGTAGGCCTACTGATCTTCTACCATCTGGTCTTTCAAAAATCACTGTCTAACACTCTGTCATCCTGTCATATTAAGGTTATCTTAAGTGTGTATACTGTTTTGTTCTAAAAGAATATTTAATTTATTTAAATGTATATTTCTTTGTTTTCTATATGAATTTTCATATACTATATGTAAACT